CCCATTCCATGATCCCATTCTGTGATCCTATTCCATGACCCCATTCCGTGATCCCACGATCCCTGGGCTGGATGGCACAGTTGGAATGAGATTGGTCTTTGGGGTCCTTTCCAACTCAACCCATTCCATGATTTTCTGATCCCATTCCCCAATTCCATGATCCCAATTCTCTGATTCTCTGATCCCATTCCCTGATTCCACCATCCTGTTCCCCAACTCTCCAATCCCATTCCCCAACTCTCCAATCCCATTCTCTGTCTCTCCGATCCCATTCCCCGACACCCCCGCCCCTCTCCGCCCCCATTCCCGTTCCCGGTGGGATCCGTGCCTTGTCCCAGTCGGGGTGGCCGGGCTGGGTGCGGCTGCGGAGGCCGGAGATGGAATCCCGCTTTTCCTGGGCCGCCAGCAGATCCAGCGCCAGCTGCAGCCCCAGCGCCTTCACGTCCCCCTTGCCCAGGGCCGAGGTCATGAACAGGTGCAGCTCCAGGAACTTCCCTGGGAATTCATTCCGGGAATTCCGGCTGCCGCCGGCACCCGGCTCCCGTTTTTTCCTGGGAATGGGCGCTCCCGCTCACCTCCCGGCTCCAGCTCCGCCTGCTGCGCCTCCAGCTGGGCCAGGAGGCTGAGGAACCACTGCAGGTGCTGCTGCTCCCGCGTGATCCAGACAAAATCCACCTGGGAGAGAGCGGGAAAGCCTCGGCTCAGGCACGCGCCAGATCCTGGCACCAGATCCCAGCATCAAATCCTGACTCCAGATCCCAGCACTGAATCCCAGCACAAGATCCCGATCCAGATCCAGATCCTGGAACCAAATCCCAGCACCGGATCCCAGCATCAAATCCCAGCACCAGATCCCAACTCCAGATCCTGGAACCAGGTCCCAGCACCAGATCCAGCCCCGATCCCAAAGCCCCTGTGTTTGGGGAACGCTCCTGGGCTCCCCATCCCAGGACAAGGCCGGATCCCGGATCCCTTCCCGCTGCACCTTCCGGAGCGTCATCTCCTCATCCCGCTCTTCCTCTCTCCAGGAGAAACGGCAGCTGGGGCAGCTCCGCATCCGCCGCCGGTACCTGCACGGGGGAATGAGCGGCACTTCCTGCTCCTTCCTGCACATCCCTGCCTTTTCCTGCTCCTTCCTGCACATTCCAGCCTTTTCCTGCTCATTCCCGGTTCCTGCCCATGGCCAAGGTCCCTCCAGCACCTTTCCCGCAGCCCAAATTCCCAAGGAGCGAATCCCAAGGGGTGAATCCCAAGGACGGAATCCCAAGGAGCGAATCCCAAGGAGCGAATCCCAAGGAGCGAATCCCAAGGATGAAATCCCAAGGATGGAATCCCAAGGATCGAGGGTTGGAGAACGTCCAATCCCAGATGCCGTCAGGGCTCTGCCTGGCGCGTTCCCAGATTCCCGGATTCCCACCGGAACATGATACTCTGCAGGATGGAGGCGAAGGGGGTGATCCCGATGCCGGCTCCGATGAGCACGGCGTGCTCCGAGGTGAAGATCCGCCAGCTCGGGCTTCCGTAGGGACCGTCCAGGAAACACTGGAGAGATCCGGAACAGGGAGAGATCCGAAATGAGGACAGATCCCGACCCAGGACAGATCCAGGACAGATCCTGACCCGGGACAGATCCCGCAGTTCCAGGTGCTGGAGCAGCTCCCAGGTGGAGCAGAAGGGCACAGAGGGGATCACGGAATTTGGGATGCGAGCAAGGAACGGGGGGGAGTTTTCCAGCAGGGCAGGGCTTGGATCAGCCCCAGGTGGGATCATCTGTGCACAGGGATGCAGGATGGAGGAGCTGGGAATGTGGCTGGGATGGAGGGAACAGGGATGGAGTGCCTGGAACGTGGCTGGGATGGATGGAATGCTGCTCCCAGGCCGTTTCCTGGGATCCAGGAAAGGCAGGAATGTCTCACCTTGACGCTGCAGCTCCGCAGGGTCTCTCTGGGCCCGGAGCCCTGGAGGAGAGGGGAGCTGTGACCTTCCCCCCCTTCCCAGCGCTCCCCACATTCCCTGGATTTGGGGCCTTTCCCACCCGGCTCCCCACACAATTCCAGCTCTCACTGCCACGGAAATATCCAAGGAATTTCTTCCCCCGCAGCTTTTTAGGGAGCTTTATCCCGTTGGGATCGGAGCGGGGCTCACCCCCTGCTCCGGGTCCTTTCCCGGGAAAGCGGCTCCGGAGGCTCGGAACGCCAGCAGCTCCACGGCTCCGTCCCTGCCGGAGGCCACGGATCCTTCCTGGGAACAAAGATCGGGAATCTCCGCTGGGATCGCCGCTCCCAGGGATCTGCTGGGAATTCCCATCAATCCCAAATCCCATCCATCCATCCCAAATCCCAAGGATTTTGTGTCCCTGTGCCAAGGCCGTGTGACCCTGATGGAGGGACACAAATTCCCATTCCAAAGGACACGAATCCTTCAAGGCTGGACCGGCTGGGAATGTCCATCCCGAGGGGTTCCCCGGCTGCAGACCGGGATGATCCCATGGGATCCACTCGATCCCACCTGTTCCCAGCGCTCCCTGCGGCTCTTCCCGGGCGGATCCGGCTCCGGGCCGCGCGATTCCAGCCGCTGGAAGTGCTCGTAGAGCTTGTTGGTCCATTGGCCCCGCGCCCGGATGTGCAGCCAGAGTGTTCCTGTGGGATGAATCCCGAAATCCTGGGATTGTCTGGATTGGGAAGAGCTCCAAACCCAACTCATCCCACGGAACCGCCTCCCACAGCCCGGCTCGCTCCGAGCCCCATCCCGGCTGGAAAAACATCAGCTGGGAAACGTTCCAGGGGTGGGAAACGGATCCTGGAGTGGGAAACGGATCCCAAGGATGGAACATTCCCAGGCTGGAACATTCCCAGGGATGGGAAACAGATCCCAGGGATGGGAAACAGATCCCAGGGATGGAACATTCCCGGACCTGGAACATTCCCGGATCTAGAACATTCCCAGATCTGGAACATTCCTGGATCTGGAACATTCCCGGATCTGGAACATTCCCAGATCTGGAACATTCCCGGATCTGGAACATTCCCAGATCTGGAACATTCCCGGACCTGGAACATTCCCGGATCTGGAACATTCCCGGATCTGGAACATTCCCGGACCTGGAACATTCCCAGATCTGGAACATTCCCGGACCTGGAACATTCCCGGACAGGAACATTCCCAGACCTGGAACATTCCCGGACTGGAACATTCCCGGACCTGGAACATTCCCGGACCTGGAACATTCCCGGACTGGAACATTCCCGGACCTGGCTGCTCCGGAGCGCTGCTGATGGAGAAGGGATGCCACTCGTAGGCGGCGATGGCCGGGATGTTCAGGAAGACGAAATCCCCCGGCTGGAAGCGGAAGGATTCCGGCCGCTGGATCACCAGGTGCGTCACCTGCCGGAAAACAAACTGTGGGAAAACCGGGATCGATCGGCCGGGATCATCCGGGATCCTCCGGGATCGTCCGGCTCCCATCGCGGGAATTCCGGGTTCTGGCTCCCGCTGGGTTCGTTCCCCGTCCAGTTCAGACTGGGATCAAGCTATGGGATTTTGGGAAAAAATTCCAAGTTCCGGGAGTTCCGGTTGTTCCGTGGGTTTTCATTTGAAGAAAACAGGGAAAAAGGCTTGGAAATAAAGGAAATAAAAGAAATAAAGGAATTCTTTCCACCCCCTGCTGCGAGTTTGCTGTGTTTGTTCCGTCATTCCCAGGGTGCCCGGAGGAGCTGGGATAGCGGGATTTGGGATGGTGGGATGCGGGAGGGTTGGGATATTTGGGATTTGGGATATTTGGGATTTGGGATGGTTGGGATTTGGGATGGTTGGGATTTGGGATATCTGGGATTTGGGATATTCGGGGTGCATTCCCACCTTGGAGGGCAGCAGCCTGGCCTCCAGGATGTGCAGATCTCCCGCCCGGCGCCACAGCCAGCCCAGAACCTTCTCCAGGAAAAACAGGGAGCCGGGAATCAGGAACCACTTCCAGAAGTGGGGAGCGTGCAGGAGCAGCAGGAACCACACGGGGATGTAGGAGAGGTGGGTCCAGTAAAAAACCTGGGAATGGGAATGGGAATGGGAGTGGGAAGTGCTGGAGCCAAGTGGCGCTTCCTGCTGGGGCTGTCTGGGTATCCCAGTGGGAAAAGGCAGCCCAAGGGAATCCTGGAATCGCTGGGATTTGCCTTGGGAAGGACCTCGATCCCATCCAGTCCCGATCCCAACACCCCCCGCTGTCCCAGGCTGCTCCAGCCTGGCCTTGGACACTCCCCGCTCCTCCCAGCCGGGAATTCCTTCCCGATATTCCCCGTGGGAATCCATTCCCCGCGTCCCGTCGGGAAGGGAACCCCGGGAACGCGGCATTCCGGCCGGGAATTCCCGGGAATCACCTGGAAGTGTCCTCGGCGGCGCAGGCAGGGGCAGGAGCCCAGCAGCATGGCCAGGAGCAGCGGCAGCAGCGCCAGCCCGGTCAGCGGGGCCGTGCCCGCAACGCCGCCAGAGCCCG